TCTTAGTTCTCGTCCAAACGTTAAATAAGCAGCTGTATGTTTAGTACTTTGGTATAATGTAGTGTTCATTGCAAAACGAATGCTGGGTAGTTTTTCATCCCTAAGTTGATGATTATATCCTACCAAAATTGCCAACTGAGCTTTCATGTCTCGGTTTTTACGTTCCACTGGGTTTGCTTCCGGGTGGTATACTGTTGTTAATATGTGCTGAATATCAAAGCAGTATATAACTTTTTGCATGACAGCGGAGACAAATTGTACTCCATTGTCACTAATTATCTTTCGAGGTACTGCATAACGCAAAAATATTTCGTCTATCAGGGTCTTGGCACATGCTTCGGCTGTAGCAACTTCAAGCGGAAAGATTTCCACCCATCTACTGGCAATATCCTCAATGATGAAAATCCATTGGTATCCTTTTGATGATACAGGCAAAGGACCGAACAAATCAATAGCAACCACTTCGAATCTTTGATTACTGGATACAGTTTGATATAAGCCGGATGGTTTCAAGTTTGTCGCCTTATATCGTTGACATTGGATGCATTCTTTTACGTGTTTCTCGATGTCTTTACGGATTCCTGGCCAATAGTCTGGATGTAATTTTGTTCGTAGTTCTATCTATACCATAGTGGCCTGCAGTTTCATCGTTATGGTAGTATTCCAAAATTTCGATTCGTTCGTCAATTGGAACCACTAATTGAGCATCGTCAGAATCTTCATTATCGTAGCAATACAAAATACCATCGTTAATTACATAGCCACTTTTGGATCAGCAAACAATATCCTCGCTATTGCTTTCGAAGCATTTAATAATTTTGTTCAGTTCTGGTCTTTTTGTTGACCTTCCCTTATCTCGCTGGAACTTTTCCTAGGTAGTTCGATGGAAAAAGCACATATTTCACATGGTGTTGCTTCACTGTGATTGTTTTCATATGGTGGCCTGGATAATGTGTCGGCAATGACATTTGTTTTTCCGGGTTTGTATTCTATCTTGATGTTAAACGGTTGCAATAACAGTGCCCTCCTGGCCAAGCGGCCGGTTGGCGATCTTATATTCATTAGCCATTTTAATGGTTGATGATCAGTAACCAGTTTCACAGCAGCTCCCTCAATGTAACCACGGAATTTGTGAACAGCCCACACAATGGCAAGTGCTTCTCGTTCTATTGTAGAGTAGTTTTGTTCTGCATATTCTATAGCAGCGGTTCCCACCGTTTTTTACTTCGCGGACCCCTTGAGGAATTTATTTAATTTCACGGACCCCCATACATATTTTGATATCTTATTGTTATAAAAAACACTGTGATACAAAAGTGAAGAAAATGCAGCCGTTCTCATATACCAATTCTATTTCGTTATAGTCCATAGAGTACGAATATATTTTTAGTTTTCCCCTATCTCTTCGTTAAATTACTTTTTAAGAGCAAAAGATGCGAAAAAGAGCCATTTTTGAAGTTTTAAATTTGAAAAATCATAAGTTCAGTAGTTTTCATCCGATTTTCAAATCCGATATTTTTTTTAATGATACAAGTGTTGCCTTTTAATCCAAAAAAAGAAATCCAAAATTTATGGTCAAATGTCTGAGTTACGGTCGTTTAAGTAAAAAAACTCACACTTTTTTAAAAAATGTTCATTTTCATCATGCTCTACTTTGGCCATGAGGCAGTGAGTTCATCTTTTATTACTTTCCTGAAGAATCAGATAAAGGAAGGTTTCTAAAACTTGTTATTTAATAAAAATCTATGAAAAACTGGATGATTTATGCCAATTTTTCTAATAGCATGTTCCTCGAATTTTTGGTTTTCTCCATACAAATTAATTTTTGTATAAAAATGTTTATAAACATTTTTTAAACTTGTTACAAAGAAAACCAGAAACATGAACGTTTTTGTATGGAAGAAATATGCTATATTTTATAAAACTTAGCACAACTCATAACCTTTTTCATCGATTATCATAAATTGACCATCATTGGAAACCCAACTTAATGTGCCTTTTTTCAAATGTAATAAAAGCTAAAGTTACTGCTTCATGGCCAACGTAGAGCAGTATGAAAATTAAAAATTGTGAAAATTGTGGCCGTAACCAAGACATTAATCATAAATTTTGGATTTTTTTTTTGGGTTGAAAGACAACACTTGTATCTTTAAAACAAAATATCCAATTTGAAAATCGGTTGCAAACTACCAAACATATATATTTTTTTAAGTTAAAACTTCAAAAATAGCTCTTTTTCACATCTTTTGCTCTTAAAAAGGAACTAAACGAAGTGATCGGGAAAAATTAAAAATATATTCCTACTCTATGGACTATAACGAAATGGAATTGGTATATGAGAACCCCTGCATTTTTTTCCTGTATCACTGTGTAATTGTTCGTCCGAAAATTGCCTTAGTCCTGGTCCATAAACCCGTACATTGAGAATATTTAGTATTTCGGAGATGTTTTCAATTGCATGGTTTTAAATATATGTAGATTGACTTCTAACATGATGTTTAATTTTATGATCGTGAGAGCTTTCATGTTCATTTCTCGTCAAGGTAGCGAAAAGGTTTCTTTATCAAGTATTGTCGACATGTGCTTAAAGAGTCATGTTTCTAAATTTTTTTGCGATTGCATAGGAGTGAGCTGAGTATGTAAGCTAAGTTTTCGGGAAAATATGTGAAAGTTAGACTTCTTCGATGTTGTTGAGGAATGCGTTACCCACATAAAATATGACATGAACTCTTTGCGAATGTACTGTGAATTTGGATCTTAAATTTGAATTTTAAAATACCTACGAATTATTTTAATGCGTGGTTTTGACTATTTACGCAAAACGCTATGAATTTTCTGATGTTGATTTAATAATATTGGACAACAAAATGAAGTTAAAATCTGTGTATCACGTCGGAATGGAATATTTATATTTAAAATTAACTAGATTAACACTTTTGCTTACAATTTAAAAAAAAATATTATGAAATGTGACCTAACCTCATATTCCGCGATACCAGTATCAGTATTTAATTCTAAGGCAAATCATTATCCGTCTGCTATAAAAACATTTATTTCGATACATATACATTTATAAAAATTACAAATCACGTAATACTTTACTTTATAAAAGTGAAACAATAAATTTGTAGGGCCTAGCTTCATCCTGATAAACGACCGAAACAATAAAATTCAAAGAGTCACCAACAAATCTGGGATTATTTAATAAAAATTGTGTATTTTAGTATTTATGAAAAATTTGGAGATATTTTTAATATTTTCTAACATATAGAGAATATTTTTTATTAATGATTTTTTTCGTTTGTCTTCGCGGACCCCCTAGGATTTTGCTACGGACCACTAGGGGTCCGCGGACCCCCTTTTGGGAACCGTTGTTCTATAGGGTGCTCATCTGCACCCTCTCCCTGGAGCAAAACTGCCCCTAGAGCGTAACCACTGGCATCAGTTTTCAGTACAAAAGGTTGATCGTCTATGGCCTGTTTCAAAATAGGAGCAGATGTCAATAATATTTTTAGCTGATCAAAAGATTCCTGTTGTTCCGCAGCCCAAATCCAGACGACATTTTTTCTCGTTAGGGATGACAATGGTTTAGACACGTTAGCGAACGAGGGTATAAACCGGCGATACCAAGAGCAGGCTTGTAAGAACGAGAGTAATTCCTTCATATTTTTAGGTTCCTTGCGTTGGCGTAATGCTGATATCTTTTCGGGATCAGTCATAATACCTTTTGGAGTGAGCACATGACCCAAGTACTTGACTTCATTACAAGCGAATCGGCATTTCTCCAAGTTTACTTTCAAACCAAATTTTCGAAGTTGTTGAAAAATGTGTGTCAAATCCTTTAGGTGCTGTTCAAAAGTGGGCGAGCAGGAGATGATATCATCCAAATACGCAAGTAAGATCGTATCGCCCAGAGAGGTCTTCATATGATCAATAAGGTGCTGGAATGTGGCTGGAGCATTTCGCAGCCCAAACGGCATCCTGGTGAATTTGTACATACCAAATGGTGTCACAAATGCTGTTTTATACTGATCATCTGGATGGACTCCTATCTGCCAATAACCACATTGGAGATCCAGTGTGGACATAAAGCTGGTTGCCTTTGCCTCATGAAGAATATCATCCATTCTCGGTAATGGATAACGGTCAGGTTCTGTAATAGAGTTCAATTCGCGGTAGTCTATACATACTCGTATTCCGCCAGTTTTCTTTGGAATGATAACCACTGGTGCGGCCCATGGTGACTGTCATTCAACAATAACTCCCAGTTTTAGCATTTTGGAGATTTCATTTCTTAGGGCTTCCTTCCTAGTAGGTGACAAGCGATATGGAGGTGTCGCAATTGGGTCGTTCCTTTCCGTGTGTATGCGGTGAACGGCAAATGGTGTAGCGGCCACTGGTTCTTCAAAAACGTCTTTGTTGGATAGTAACAGTTTGTCCAAATCTTCGCGTTCCTTGTTTGCTAGCCCTATACCATCGGAATCTTTTAAAAGGTGGATATCCAATGAGTATAAGGGCATAAAAACTTCGGCCAAGTACGCATCTTGCTCAGATTTCCGGATTTTGATGGGGGTCCAAATAGCGTCCAAATATCTCGCCAGGAGTTCTCTCTCCCAAAGGTATAGCGTCTCGAAAGATATTCTGGATAGAGTGTGGTGAGTAATCATTTGAGTTCTTCGGTGTATTCGATAATGGTGAAATTTTGCTTTTGTTCTAATAAATTTTGAAACCTCCTTCATCGCCTTACTGCATGGAAAACACTTATCGCTGTTGAGATCCATGCTAAAGACTCCAAATTCTAGAGGATTAGTGAAGAAAAATCTGGTTTTGGGCTCATCCTCAAAGTACCAGCATCTTTGCGCCATATTTAGGACTATTCCAGCCTGTTCCAAAAAGTCCGCTCCAAGTAAGGTTCTGTTCTTGTCGGTGTTTGGTAAATACACGAGACGGATTTTCCGAACTTTACCGCCAATTATAACGTCAGAAATTGTATGCATAACTTAACCTGTGGTACTGGAACCGTTGGCCAAAGTAACCTCTGCTCGAACATCCTGGAACACACAACCGTTTTTAGTCAGTATCTTCTTTAGATTGAGGCTGGCTATGCTTGTCTTTGCGCCAGAGTCGAAAACTGCTTCCCCTTTCAATCCAAAAATCTCAATATGCGTTGTATGTAATGTATGTCCAATAATGGTAGATTATAGGGAATTAAATGATAAGTATTGTGGGCTTTCCTTTGAGTAGTTGCTACACGTAGGACAATTTGCACGGTATACCCCTGGAGCACCGCAACCATAACATGAAAAGGCAGGTTTTCTTACCAAGGAGGTGTGTAGTAGATCAACCACTTGTCTTTGTTGAGTTATTGGCTTCTGTTGCTCCAATTGTTGCTGCTCATCTATTTGTTGTCTGCCTTGTTGTTCATCGCGTTTCTTTCTTTTAAAGCAATGTTCAATGCTGTGGCCTTTTAGGCGGCAAAACCCACAGCGGTTGTTGGAGACATTTTCTTGCTTAATGTCCATGTTACTTGTTGCTGGGCAAGATTCCGTAACAAACATTTCGGCCTCTCTGCTTGCAGAAATGAGCTCACTGAATGTTCTAATATTTTCGCGGCGAACACGCTCACGAATAGTTATATTTAGAAGCCCATATATCATATTTAACTGGACTTCCTCAGATACTGGCACTTTCAATTGGGATAGCAGAAGCCTCTTTTTGCAAATAAAGCTGTCTGTCGGCTCTCTTTTTTGTTGTTTCAGCTCAAAAATGTTTGAAAAAATTCGCCAATCTGGTATTGGTGGCGAAAATGTTGCTCGTATTAGGGCTTTCGCATCCTCGAAACTGGTTACTGTGTCTTTGACACCAATCCACCAAGTGGCTGCATAGTCCTCAAACAGTAAGGGCATTCCTCGTATGGCATCTGCATCAGAAATTTTTTCAATATCCTTATACACGCTGATGGCAGCCAAAAATTTCTCTACAGCAGCGGGGTCTCGCTGCCCCTTATAGCGCGCTGTACACTGCGTAAACGAACCACCTCTGCTGGTACCACCCACAGCTGCAAGAATTTGCTGAAATTGTTTTTTTCTGTGATATTTTCTGATAGTAATTCAACATTTTCTGAAAATAATTCTCGTGAACTTTTGAGGATATTCAAACGAAATTTTACATAAATATTCTTAGGTGGTCTCTAGAGTTCTGTTTTTAAGCGACATAAAATCAATAACTAATGAAAAAATATATATAGATATTCCTTATAAGTAGTAAAAGAGGTATTAACATAGGTTAATTATACCCTACACCACTATAGTGGGGAGGATATAATTCTTCTTTTGACCCAATGAAAATGGTTAAAATCGGTCCATTGTTTCACCTAGCCCACAACCGTACCCCCGAATAGGGCTTTTCAAAAAAAAAAAAAAAACGGCAAAACAAAGTTCATCATTTATTTGATAAAAAGAATTAAAATGAAAATACAACATTTAAAAGAAAAAAAATATATATTTTTTTTTTAATTTCGAAAAATGTATCTCAAAAGTGTCCCGAGAAACAGCTTTTTGCGAATTTAAAGTAGTCACAAGTATCAAATGATGTGTATTGTTGTAGTGAACTCGAAAAAAATAGAAAAATAACTTTCCCAGCTATTGAAAATCATGATCTCAGTACAAATTATAAAAAAAGTTTCCTAATTTTTTTGAAATGTGTCCTAAAAATTTCATAATTTTAAGCTCATTGCGGGAAAAATCATAAAATTGTTTAAAGTACTTTTATTCCACAGAATTACTTTTAGTGCTTTAGAATTCCTAAATAAATTAAAAAAGTCATTAAATAAAAGGCTAAATATTTTTGTAAAATTTTTGATCGGAATAGGTATTCGATAATTTTTACATATTTCGAAAAAATTCAAAATTTTTGTGTCCTTCGTAATGCGCTAAATAAAAGTCTTTTTGTGGACGAAAAATACTCTTACAAATTTTACAATTATTTTTCCCGCAATAAGCTCAAAATTAGGGAATATTTGAGATGAATTTCGACAAAATTTAAGAAACTTATTTTTTGACAAATTGTACGGTGATCATCATTTTCAATCAGGAAACTAAGGACTCTTTCAATAGTTTTATTTTGTATTTTTCCATTAAAATGTTTTGTTTTTTTAATTCGGATCATAAATGCATTTTTATTGATTTTAAAAAATTGAGTCGAGGTGACCAATTTTAAGGGCCTTACCACTGGACTCCATTGGACCTACGGAGTCTAAAGATTGTAAATAGATACAAAAACACCTCAGCTCTAACTATGTAAAATTTTGCTACGATATCTCCTATAGATCACGAGATACCGAATATACATTTCAAAATAATAAAAAAATGTTTCAAAGCAACTGTCTTTTTATGCGCTTGCAGCATACAATAAGTTTGTTGTACAACCATCATTATCTGTGTTATTTGTTTGACAAAAGTATAGCAAAACAAATACGTTACTTTTATTCTCTTTGTACTCACTCACAGTACCAATGTTTGAGAAAATAACAATATCAACTTGTACCAGAACTACTCAACTACTCAACTACTCATCAATACGCACTCACAGCAGTAGACACTGCGAAACTTGTGCAAAAAGTTGTAACTGTGCACGTCTTTATTGTGCAAACCCAATGTTTAATAAAAAAAAGTATGGTTGGGATGCCGTATAACAGGGGCATATGTTTCACAATAATCTTCATTATATCTTTGGAAACATCCCTGAGCTCGGGATCGGGCTTTGCATTTTTCGACTGTTCCATCGGCGAAACGTTTTTTCGTAAAAATCCATTTGCAAACAATAACGTTTTTATCTTGAGGTTTCTCAACTAACTCCCATGTATTATTATTATTATTATTATTAATGATGAATATTTCTTATTCATTGCTTCTTGCCATTTTTCGGATTTATTACTATTTATTGCTTGCTTTACTGTTTTAGGATCAAAATTAAAATCTGTTATTACATTTAATTCTTCAGTATCCATTTCTTTCTTTACTAGGTCTACCTCTTTTTCTTTTTCATTTAAATTTTCATTTTTTCGTACGTTTCATCATCAGCCAATTCTTGATCATCAAAACCAAACAATTCTGATTCTTCACTTGAAGAAAATATTTCGTCTTCATTAATACTTCTGTATTCGTATGCATTTTGATTTTCATTATCATTTTTTAGATCTTCTGTATCACAATTCTCAATATTATTTTCTCGAATTGTATTTTGATAATTAACAATATTTGTACAATCCTATAAATCAGAATAATTTTCTTCAATGCCAATAGAATTTGTCTCAAAATCAATTTAAAAAAATTTCACATCTCTTGAAATAACAATCTTATTTGTATTCAGATCAATCAATCTATAACCTTTTGTGTTTGTTTTGGATCCAATTTTGAACGTCCTGGTTTCTTTTCTAGAACTACAGCTTTACATCCAAAAGTTTTGAAGTAAGATACACAAGGTTTTCTTCCAGTCCACCGCTCATATGGAATTATATTTTCTAAAATGTTAGTAGGTTATCTGTTCTTTATGTAAACGCTAGTGTTAATGGCTTCTGTAACTTTGTTTCTTCAAGCATACATCTTTAAGACTTCAACATACTGATTTTGAAATTTAACAGTATATCCTTTTTCAACTATCTTACTAACAGACAAAAAATTTGACTTCATATTAGTAATATACAAAACATTTTTTACTTCACTATTAATCAATATTACTTCACTATTATATTCTTTCATATTTGAGAATAATTCTTTTTCTCGACATATACAGTGAATCAACTTAGTTTTTTGCCTACCTTTTTTTAAGAGAAATTTGATAAAATTCAAACAAACAGGTAAAAAGTAAATTTATGTTTTCCAATTGTAAAATGGGAAAACCAAGAAAAAATATTAAAATGCAAATTTTGGTGCATTTGTTGTTGCATTTTATTATTTTTCATCAGAATTTGCACGTCAATAAAGTATTTTGCATATTGAGAATTCTAGTTAATTTCGTTGGGTTTTTCAAATTATTTTTTAATTGCTTTTTGGAATTTATTGTTTATTGTTAAAAGAAGACGTGTTAAGTATTTTTCATTTGTAATTTTTAAAAATCATATCCTCATTGTGTGAAACTGTGCAGTTATTTGCGTTAAAAATGTTTAAAGGGAAATAATGAGGCAATTCCAATATAAAAAATTAGTTTAGATTTTTAGAACAAGTGTAAATCAATGAAATTCAATTATGATATGTTTAACCAATATCATTAAAAATATAAAATATAGAAATTGGTGAAATAACACAAAGAATTATAAGAAAACACGCACTGAATTGTCTTTCAAAATCTTTAACTGACAAAGGAGAGCGACTTGTATCCAAGGAAAACCATTGAAGTCCTCATTTATCTTCTCCAAAGTCCATATACGAACTAGAAAGAACACTATGTTTAAATTTAGACTTCTAAACAGACCTTAGGTTGCTTGGAAACAATATAAAGTGAACTGTCGTGTGGTACAGGAAAAATACTTAATTTAGATATTTTCAAATAGAGGCGGTTCTCATCACCTAAGGTCCACAAAAGCAATATTTTTCAGCTAATACATACTATACAATTCAATTCATACAATTCACACAGTACTCCCCAAATAGATGGGGTTTCCGTAATGAAGTTTTTGTTTATCAATACAAAATGACCAAAAACCCAGATTATTTTGTTATAATATGTAGTTTTTTGCCCCGCTAAACCTTATTTCTATGTCCAAATTCATTGATTTTCTAGTATATAATGTATCCAATTCAAAATTACGTATTATTTTCGAAATAAAATTAAAGAAACGATAAATTTCATGGTAAGTAAAATATTGATAAATTCATATAGGTATATAGGAACATAAATCGGTTAAAAAATGTCCAAATTTAGTCGTACCACTACTTAAATATTTAAAAACTTTTATTTTAATATACAGAAGTAATAAAAATGTAAAATTGTATAAAATAATACAACAATATTAAAAAAATAAACAAAAAAACCTAAAAAAGCAAAATACTTTATTGACCTAAAAAATTAACAATACGTTCACATATTATCAAAAATCTCGTTATACTATGTTTCCACTGGCTTGAAATCTACTAGATTTGCTTAAACCTCTTCAAGGTGTTTCTACTGAGCTTACTCGTTTTTGATATTCGAATTTTCGAACAAATCCCGTAATTTTATTTTAAGATAACGACAATAATGTTAATTTCCTTAAAATTTAAACATTAAAGATACAAAATTACAATTGCAAAAGTATAAATTTGTTTATTAAATGCCACTAATTTTAAAATTATAATTTGTTTTATTTTTATTTCGAAATGAAAAGTCATTTTTTATATGAAAACATTCAACTTGAATGGATAGCCTATAGTAAATTTTGCTTATCTTGTTTGAAAAATACATTTTCGACATGTTTTAAATCAAATCTAGTAGATTAAGTAGATTTGGATTTGTCAAAACTGTATGGCAAATCAACAAGATTTCAACTAGTTTTGCCCAAATCCACTAGATTTGCTCAAAACGCCTCAGTGGAAACATAGCATTAGTTAATATCACTATTTTACTTTTTTTGGTAGAAAATTAAAATATAAGATATTCTTTAAAAAACACTACAAGCAAATTGCTTAACTTTGCTAAAAATAATTGTTCAAACAAAGTTTTTTCTTAAAATTTATAAATTTTTACTTAGGCAAATTACTTAACTGTATGTGATGATGCTCTACTATCTAAGAGCCATTCATTTAAATTATCATCACTAATACAAGAATTTATTATAAACATTGTCCAGCAGTTCGGCGGGACAATCGCGAACTAACCACTTGACATACCACTTATGGTGGCCCCTAGCCACCCGACTACCCAGGTGACCAAACATTTTAACATGGGCTTGTCCTACGAGGAAGTCAATCGTCACTCTACAGTCTACATTGAGACTCTCAAGAGGTAGTCAATGGATGGTAATCTCCAAATGGGTTCTTGGGAGACAGTCACATTACTAGCTCTTTCACTAGTTACTTTACTAGCTATTGACGTGTCCTATGGGAAAGTCAAGTGTCCCCAAGTAGCTTGTCCAATGGACAGGTATTGCAGAAATAAATAACCGGTCCGTCGAAATATAACCCTGAAAACTTATGAAAAATAAAAAACACTTTAAAAAATACTTTTATTTCTAGATTAAATAGATATTGAAATAAATATTTTTATTATTGCTGCTCATTTGTATCTTCAGTAAAATCGGACTTTTAAACTTTGGAATTCATTAACACACAAAAATTACTCTGAAAGAATAGAATTTGTTATATTAAAGCAGTGATGTCCAAAACTAAAACTAATTGTATTGGTGAGCGAAAGAGAACTGCACTGAAAGAAAAATTGTGTATACCAAAAACAATTTACGGACAAAATTAAAAATTGAAATTTATTTCATATATCATTAATGAAATTTTCAACATTAATGCTGTTATGACAGTTTCGTAGCAAAAGAATATTTTTTAAGTGTGCGGAATTAATTTATTACGTTGTTTAGAACCAATGAATTTTAAGTCTGAAAAAATCTGTTCACATAGATACGTTGAGGGAAAAAATAACAAACATTTTTGATAATTCTTTTTTAATTCTGGATATAATAAATCATCTAAATGACAACTCTTTTTTTAAACTTTTATCATCTAAATTCTTTTCGTTGGCTTCCCTATCAGATAACCAATTCTTTAGTTTTTCCAAAAAAATAATTTTATATTTTAAAAATAATTTTTCTTTTTCCCTATCACTAAATCTATCCATATTACTATGAAAAGAATAATAATGTCTTTTTAAAACAAATCCCATAATGTCCTTAAATGTTTTATAACATAATATACTTTGAGTATTGTCAAACGCATTTATAATCATAAAATATTTTTCGCATGCAATATTAAATTCTTTTAGTGCTGCACAGTGGTATAGGAAAAAAAAAAGAGGGAAATAATTCGGTAACTTCTAAACGGTTAATCCGATTTTAATGAAATTTGGTGTGCACAAAGAGGAGGTGTTGTCGAGTTTAGGTTTTGAATTTGGACCTTATAGGCCAACCAGGGGCCCGGCGGGGGGTCATCAAATTAGGACACCTCGGCTATGTTAAATTTTTAAAACGATCCTATTTCTTCATTTGAGTTCCGATTTAAAAAAAATTTCGTATATAGAATCTCCTCATCGAGCACTATAAAAAATGTTGTCATAGCAGTAAATTATCTCTTATAGTTTAGGAGATATTCGCATTTGAAAATTAAAATTTTAAAATTTTTACCGTCCTTACTTTAGTTTTTTTTGATAATAGCAGGTCCAATTATTCCCGATTTTCGCCATTTTTTTTTTATTCGCTTAACAACAAGTTTATATATCAAGCAGTGAAAGAATTATGTAAAAATCATGACTGAGTCCAAAGTTATAGGCATTTTAATTTAAAAAATTAAAAAAAGGCGATTTTTTGTCATTTTTTTGGGAAAAAAGTATCTTTTTCTTTTTAAGTTATCTAAAAAGTTTCTAAGAAGATGTATATAGAATTTATACTTTTTGGAAAGCTGACTTTACATAAAGTACGATAAATGAAACAAAACCTAAAAATTTTTGATACCGAGGGGACCAGGTCCATCCAAAAAAACCCTATTTTTTATGGAAAATTAAATTTTGAGCAAAAATTCTCAAATCGCATAGTCGATATCAAATTATAGTGACCTGTTTTATATGACCCAATATGTTCTTAATCATTTTGTAACGGGTTTCGATAACCCCGCCCCTGGTATGGATATAATAGGCAAAAAACTAAAAAATCCCATTTTTGGGATTTTTTAAAACTTTTTTGGGAATTCCGGGATTTCTAATAAGAAAATTCGAAATTTTGATTTAATTTTGGATTTTAAGTAAAAAAATCTACCTAACTGTAAAATTTCATCAAAAAATATTCATAAATAAAATTTTTATTGCAATTTGAAA